GTACGAGGCAGCTATCATACCCCTGGAGCCATCTGCTTCCTCCGCTGCTCGTGTTTCGTGTTATCCGTCTGACTGAAGACATTGTCCCTCCGGTACTCGATTCGTGCGGCTTTGTAGTACCAATTGGAGCGTTTGTAGCCAGGCTTGTTGTTTACGTGCATCCAAACTTCGGGAGAAGACGTGACCAGCACTTGAGGCGCGACACGGGCGATCGGACCTGGCTCAAGTCGAAGATGTTAGCTATAATATATGCGGCTCCCCGGATGCAAAGCATAAGAGATGTCTAGGAAAATCCCTCGCACCATGTTTCTTGTTGACTTCTGCGTACCACTCGTGGCAATTGCCTCGAAGCATCGCCATGCTATGAGGCCAGTTCGAAATGCCGGTCCCCGAGGGCCCCCGGAACTGCATCAACTTAGCATATGTCGTGATAATCCTGAAGACATAGAGGCTCAAGAGGCAGCAGAAGAGCGTCACAGCCTGACCTGATAAGTCGGCTACCGCCATAGCGGAAGAAACAACCGGGAAGAATTGGGAGAGTGGCCTTTGGGGGAGTCCGCGGGCCCTGCTATATACTACGGCCACCATTGGATATGGGAAACGCGTGACGACTTTTGACTTCACGGACATGGAGCTGGTTACATTAATGCAGCGGTTGCTATTCGTGGCCTTCTCCCGCGTGCGTGAGATCCACTTTCTAGTGCTGACTAGCGTGTAGAGAGAGCAGCTCCACAGCCGGGCCATTTGAGATGGGAAAAATAATAATACTCGCGCGTATGATGGGTTCTCTGGGCGGCGGTCTGATCCCTCAGTGGCCTCGGGGATCTTTCAGTGGCTAGGTGCACAGATTTGCGCTTTGCTAGCCCCTCTTCCCATGATTCCGGGACACCCCGCAGCCCGATCGGCAAGGCTTTAAGCCGCGCTGAAGTGCAATGACTTCTATCAAACCATGGCAGATCGCGTTGGGCTCTGGGTCTGTTGGAATGGTCAACAGTTGGCCAATCGCTAGTAGCCCCCGCCTTCCCCGCCTGGTACTTTTTTCTTTTTTCTTTGTTACTAGTATAGGCGTGAGTTGGTCACGCTCCGCCCCAACATCCCACTTTCCCCCGCCTCCATTTTTTGCCCAGCCGTTTTCTCAAATTGCTCCGACGTCAATAGTTTCACCCAAGTCTTTGGGAAATCATCGACTGAAGATATGGAGAAAATCGCAGTGGTAAGTAGTGTTTGATGTTCTGATGCGGTCATTCTCATGTCTCGACTAGGACCCAGACTTCTACTCTATAGCTACTGGTTTTGGCACAGATCCGCAGGACTTTCAGTCGTGAGTGCAACTACAGCATACCTTCTATCGTATTCTCACTCTAGTACGTCTTCAGAGAGACCACCTCTATTGCGTCCTCGATCGCGAGGGGACGATTAGAAAACGGCCGAAGGTCAGTCTAGTCCAGCCTAAGGTCGTTTCCTGGTTTTAACCTAAGAAGTAGATACCAGGCCACTAAAGAAGATGATTACTGGTTAGTTACGAAGCATTGATTTGTATATACATGGAGTAACCATATCCAGGGGACCTTCTGACGAGCAGCAATTCGAGGCGTTTGAGATCGGGTAAATCGCATCTCATCCTCATATTTTTTATGTCTCACTAATAGAAGGTCTGTGATTATGATGAACTCAGCCATATGGTGTTTCTTGTTCTAGATTTCAACCAGCCGAATCCTCTTTTTCGCGCCCCTATCGGCGATTCGCCCAAGGTGAAGTTCCCGAGGCGACACTCACTTGAACGTCCCGTTAACATCACAATGTAGCATATTCTGGACATCGGAACTGGTCAAGGAAGTTGGGCAATGTAATCCGATGAGCAATACGTTTCGAGAAAACCATTAACGAGCCTTAGTGATGTTGCCGACCGCTATCCGTCAGGTACTAGATTTCCCGAGACGACTCCTTCTGTTCTTGGGCTGACGCTGGCTAGCTACCGTCCGCGGCGTGGATATTTTTCCCCCGCCAGTGTCATGGATGCCCCCAAATTGCGTGTTCGAAGTGGATGATGTGCTCCGCGAGTGGACATGGAGAGACTCGTTTGACTTTATCCATATACGCCTCCTGTATGGCGCCTTCCCTCCTGAGGGATGGGACCAGTTATACAAACAGGCTTACGAGTGAGTTTCATCCTTATTACTCGGTCTCGTGTCATCAAACGCTCATATCTGTTTACTCTCGGTATAGCGCCCTCGAACCCGGTGGCTGGATCGAGCAGATGGAATTTGACGTGCGGGTCTCTAGCGATGACGGTACCCTGAAAAAAGAACACCAGCTATGGGAGTGGGGACCAATGTTTATTAGGTGCGCCGAGAGAGCTGGACGGTCGCTCAACATCCACGAAACCATGCGCAGCGCAATTGAGAAGACCGGATTCGTGGAACTGCACGAGGAAAAGTACAAGATCCCCTTAGGACCTTGGCCTAAGGATAAGTTACTGAAGGAGGTCGGACACCTCCAAGATGCCCACTGGAACGCCGCTCTAGAAGGTTGGGCGATGTGGCTTCTCACCCACTTCGGGGAGCCGGAGCCGTGGACGAAGGAGGAGGTGCAGGTGTTCCTAGCTAAAGTGCGCATAGAGCTGAAGGACCCACACATTCATGCCTATAATCCTGCGTTCGTTTTCTTTCAAATCGTGCTGCTGAATTGTTTGATGCTAATAATGTTCAGGCACCGCGTGTGGGCAAGAAATCCTACCATGGATGAATTGGAAGCGAAGGAGGTAACTTTCAAAGCCGAGACATCACCGTAAAGCTTCTTTGAATCTTCTTACGCTGGATTTCGAAAACAGATTACCCCCAGACACACAGGCTGTCTTTCCCAGCGCCCCGCTTGGATGACGCTAATCTGTATACGGCTAGCGATAGTTCTCTACAGGGGGCGTCTGTTAGCGTGATTGGTTATGGGGCACAGCGATCTGGACCTTAGCACCACTACTGGGTCTTCGGGAAAGGAGGCGTGTGTGTTTAGGGGTAATCTGTTTCGAAATCATCTGTAAGCTTCCCCCGTGCTTCCCGAGGCGTTTGGAGAACCAGTGTCAGCAATTAGCATGAGACGTAATAAACGACACCCCTGTTTTTACCTAAAGGTCTATCAATTTTGAGCAAATGCAGGCCCATCTTCAGGAAAGCGAATTTATCATATTGAAACGGGTCCGGATGACTCGGATTGAGTTACTGTATGGCTGGGAAAATCTTGAATGACGAGCATATGAGAAGACCACAACATTATTTTAGCTCTACGTGACGATCTGAACGTGGATAGGAGAAGGATAGGAAGCTCTACACTGTTTCTGCATACATATATATATAAATATATATCTCTCTCTTCGGGCAGGATTTCAGCCAGGAACGGCTATATGCATGTACACCTCTATGTTAACTACTTATACATATCATCTAACAGCATTAAGATCCTCAACGTCTCCCCTTCATTGAAAATCGTTGTACTCCAAGCACGTCCCTTCCTGTATTGAATAGTCTCTCAACTGAAACTTCAGAGGCTGGAATTGCTAGGTAATCCCTGGCAGCGGCAGCCATCCGAGGGTATTCCTTCTTATGAACCTTCCACCAATCACACAGCCAGTTTTGATCCTCCATATCACTTACTTCAGCCCGAGCACTATCAAAATACCGATCAATATCAGAAAATCGAGGGTTTTCTTGAGGCTGTAGTCTTTGTAACATCCGGCTACCCGCTTTTTGCTTCTTATGACTAGGCTCACATAGCTCCGTCGTACCAAGTGGTTCGGTAGTCCCAGGATATTTGCGGTGAAGATAATCACGGAGAGTTTGAAGAATGGCCCTCCCAGCAGTCTCTTCACTAAACTCATTTAGGAGGAGAGCTCCTTTCACACGAGGATCCAAGACTAGTGCAGTGTAGTATAGATCAGAGGCATCCATGAAAGTATAGTACTTGATATACTTCTTGATACTCCCACCAACAGCACTTGCAATATTCTCTGCAAGATCTGCAAAATCTTCCTTGCGCTCAGCTACATCATGAAGTAAATCGTGGTGCTCGTAGTATATTGGTAGAACGAGACTGATCTGTGGCCTTTTCTCCGAGACAAACAATGTAAACTCATTGAATTTTGAGAGAACATTGTGGATATGGGAAAGCCGTATCCAGTCTTCCGGTGAGAAGGAAAGGAAGCTAGTCTCATAATAGATAAACGTCTCTAGCTGTCGCTTTGACTATAGAGGGTATTAGTATTAAGCATACGTATATATAGAACGAAGGACCTTGCCTTTAAAGCATCCCCTAACATGCGAAAGGTTGAATTCCACCTTGTATCGACATCATACTCGATGAAGTTATTTGATAAGTTCATCCGATTGCAAGCATCGTTCCATGATTGCCGTCGCTGTAGACTCCGTTGAATCCAGAGAGCTTGGATTCGAAGCTTTGCAAGAGGTTCAATAATTTGGAATTCAAATGACTGGTGTTCCGCATTATCAATGTTATTATAGATAGAAGCAGCTTCTTCTGTATTTCCCGACTTCAGAGCCAGTAGAATATCCTCCACAATGAGATTGATGATATAAGCCAAGCATCTTATATAACTATCCAAACCACGGAATAAGGAATTGGTCCCAGATGAATTTTTTAGGTTATCGCATAGTTGTATCGCCATCCGCTCATTATTACTAGCATTATCAGTAATCGAGAGCAGCTTACGCTCAAGATTCAGTTCAACAAGTAGAGCTTGAATAGCTGCGGCCAAGTACTCTCCACTAGGGGGACCATAGAGCTCTTTGAATTCAAGGACTTTCTCTCGATAGTCAAAGTCTTCTGTAAGCCAATGGCCAATGACACCCAGGATTGGGATATGGTTCTTGCTGGTCCATACATCAAGGGATAGAGCGATTGTTTGGCATGTAGTCGCAAGCTCTTCTTTCAACTTAGCACGTTGTAAGTTGAAGTCTTCTAGAAGAGGCTCTCGAAGTGTATTTCGAGAGGTAAATGGAAGTGAAATTCCTGGTATATCCTTGAACAATTGTTGCAAGTCTGGTGATTCAATAACTGTGAATGCTTGTTTGCTGCTAATAATCCAACGAAGAAGATTTTCTCAAGAAGTTGTTGAGCTGTAATCTTTCCCTTCTTACCCTAGAAAAGTCTGCCTGCTAGTCCTAATTTGGTTAATTTCGGATGATATGTGATAGTCTGCCGATAATTATCGTATCGACGGATATTCGCGATACGATATTTGCAACTCAAAAGCCTTGCCGATAATTATCGGATATCGTATCGACAACTTGAAAGCCTTGCCGATATTTATCGGCAGCGATAAGATAGCCGATAATATCGGCAATTTCGAATATTCGCAACAGCCCTAATAGTTTCCTTGGCTCCGGAAACTCCGGATTTTGTACCCAGGAAAGCTTATTTTCAAGTATGATCACGCTGTGTGGCTTGGAAAGCGAAGCGATCTGATGCGACCACAGGTTGTTGGAGCACCTGTTTTGATGGTATTGTTCTGTCATCCTGATGCGCACTACCCATGCATTAGGGTTAGACCTGTATTTATATTACTGGATTGTGGCCCACACAACTCCACAACAATCAAACCAATGTACACATGCTACAAGAACGATGAAAGTTGATTTGCCCAGTAGTTAGTGGCTCAATCTTCGATTGGATAACACGCTTAGTGATTTGATTGGCTAGCATCGTGGCAGGTGCCCCACCCATGCGGGTTATCGCATCATCCATCAAACCTAGTGAGCATTCCAGCCCCAGAGAGATTTAGTGGCGGACTCCTATGTCTATTACAAGATTAGTTTTTCAAAGGTGCTGATTCAAGATTTAATTAACCACAGTATGTTATTATACCCGATTGTCTCCGTCTTCACACACTCGGTTGGAGTTGATGCCACGTTCTTCCTCTTGTCACTACCTCCAAGGGATATGAATCTATAACGCAGCATCGAAGGAATATTGTTGTTCTTGGGACGAGGATGAATACCCTCCCGGTTGCTGCAGCCTTTAGTGGGCTCGCTGTTTTTTTTGTCGTATTGCGGCTTTGCACTCGGTACATGTTAATCCGCAGTGTTGGCAATGATGACTATATGGTTTGCTTATCTCTGGTTTGCCTTCCCTCGGCCACTAAGCTTGCAGAGTGCTAAGTAAGCAAACCCTATGTAGTTTTTCGCTATCGCTGCGTTATTAATGCTCGTATTTGGTAAGTGCAAGTTGGATTTCCTTCCCACACAAGTACAACCAAGTACAACGACTGATAACCATAAATCAGAGGTACATTACGGTCTTGGAAAGCCGCAAGAGATTCTTCATCCAAATAAGACAGAAAAACAATTCTTGGTACGTTTGGACACAACATGCTACGTTGTCAGACCAATCACTGGCGTAGCCTGCGCAAATAGACATGCTAAGTTGCGATATAGTTTTTGTGGTTGAGTATCCCATTATACAACTTGTCATTGACATTCACCAAAGCCTCAATTCTTCTTCTATACATTCGGATCTTTCCGCTGCCTCGATTTATTCTTATGTCGCGTATCGCGCTAGGCGTCATAAGCACATATGGACTTTGGTGTGTGCTCAGCTCCATCCTGAACTGTATCCCGGTAAATGCATTCTGGGACACCTCAATTCAAGGTCGCTGCATAAAAAGGGAATTTTTATGGTTTTTTAATGCAGGTATAAATATCGTTACCGACCTAGGCATCCTGGTAATGCCTATTCCCGTTTTGTCTCACCTGCAACTTTCTTGGAAGCGAAAGTTTGGCCTCATGTTAATCTTCGCTGCAGGCGGTTTGTATGTTTATTATGTATCCTCAACCTTATCGTGTACTAATCAGGAAGATAGCGCCTGCATTACAAGCATAATCCGCCTCAAGGCAGTGGCCATAGCAACCAATTCCACTGATTTGACAAGTCAGTCATCACGAGACGACCCACTATAGAGACTAATCGCCTTTTTCAGGATCCCTAGCTCCGATTGCAACTTGGTCTTACGTGGAGATGAACATGGGAATCATCTGCTCTTGTCTCCCGCCGTTGCATCCGTTATTCAGACGTACACTTCCATGGCTTCTTTCTCCGAGTTGCCGATGCTGCGGCAGTAACGATCCGATGGATCCTGAATGAGCTGCGCTGTAACGGGTACTGCTGGACAGGGAACGAAAATTAGAAGTACGATTACACAGAACTATCTCAAGGGCAGGTTTTTGCGGGATATCGAAACTTGCCAGAGTTGACCCTACCTCGTCAAGGGCTTGGCAAGTTCAACTCTGTTGGAATTCAGAGGGAACATGTTATTTCTTGAGGGAAACCAGGAGGCTAGATGTACAACACGAAGTTGATCTCCGGTCAACTTAGTTCTTCGTATAGACTGTCTACTTCGGGTTCTATTCCCGATGGCGAGGTTTTGTTCCTGATCTACTTCAGCCTCACATCACATCAGTCGCTGCAGATGCGTCGAGAATATGCTAGCTTGGACTGGCCATGACCCGCATGGACTTGAAACCGGACCGCACATAGGACATACTTCATCTTGTTGATTTTTGGCCGGCTCCATTCAAATGACCCTTCGGTGACCAAGTGGACCTCACTGCGGAGATTCTCGAGAGCCTCATGTGGCACAGGAGGAAAGAATGCCCATGACATTAGACATACTGTCATATCCGTTCCAGCAAGCAGTACACGGGGGAATTGATATCTTACTAGAACCGGGTCATGTAACCCCTTGTAAAGGTCGAGAGTAAAGGCGTGCTTCACCAATGCTGCTTCTTCGAACATTCAGCAACATGATATCAAGCCGAAGGGTTTGAGAGGAATTCCATCGAGCAGGGCCCTTCGTCCGCTTAGAGGTCAGTCTTGACCAGCTGTCAGATGTAATTTGCGGGACTCAATGGTCAAAGTTCGGCGCTGTGCCGTGTGCAGATTGGATCGCAGGGGCGTCGTTGGGCCATTCAGTGGGGATGTGAGAGGCTGGGGTATTTGGCTATACCGCTGGCTACCTTCGCAAGTTAAGGCTCTGTATGTCGGGGGGTACAAACCCGAGGGGCCCAGATATAGCAAAAATACGTGTAAATCAAAGAAAGGGGGGTGTGTATTGAGGAGTTGCAGATCTCAGCAAGCCACACTTGTATTTGACGAGTCAATACAATGCCAATATCCATTTTCCTGACAAAAGGCTATAGGCTAATAACTCGTAGCACAAGTCAAAGTGCGGCAAATAAACGTATATTTTCCTTTAGAGGCTTTTATCCCAATATTATAAATCTACCTCCGAAGGCGATTTGCTTATACAGAGATTGAATAACTGCGGACTCGGTCCTGGTGGGAAACATGAGCTGCCTGAACGACTCAGACTTCCATCACTTTCCAAGCCTGCCTGTGGAGATACGCCTGATGGTCTGGGAATATACCTGGCCAATGCTCGAGTCATCGAAGCCGTATCCTTCGAGGTCTTTGACGATGATGAGTACGAAGAGTTCACGATATTACGCCCGGCGGGTTCCGTATCTAAGTTTTTGAACCACCGATTTGAGTGGAGGATTCTGGACAGCAAGCCGCTGGAAACCTGTCCTCATCCTGTGGCCCTAGGCGTGTGCCATGAGTCTCGACAGCACACGCTGAAGCATTTCCTGGCCATGGAACATTCTAAATCGGATGCGGGCTCGTTCTTCTTTCGTCCACTCCATGATTTGCTTTGGTTTAGTCTTGACTTCACTGACGAAAAGGAGCGCCTACAAGACTTAGTTCATTTTTATGGCGACCAACTCCTCTGTTTCCAAGTTGTCCTTGTTTGTGAAGATGATTGGATCACTGATACTCCAGATGGGTATATGTCAAATTATCTTTCCCCAATGGGACCATTGAAGGGGATCCATATTGTCTACGATGAGCTTGATGACAACGGTGAATTGGTAGAGCCAAAGGCAGAAGATTTATCTGTACGTGCTCAAGAGTTGAAGGATGAATATGAGGACTTGATAGGGGACATGCATGACGGAAATGGAAAGGCGAAACGTATTCGATACCCGAACCGTTGTGGGAAATATTACTAGTTAGTGTTGAATCTTGATCACTGGAAGACGCATTTTTTATGCAGCTGGTGGTGTTGCAAATAAAGCCGCACCACCAGATTCAATTCCCGTGGCTTCTACGGAGCATCAATTTGATTTCCAATCATCTGATTGAAGGCCTTTTTTTCCCAAAAACATGTAACATTTCCAGTGATCTCGTGCTAGGTCTTGCTAGTTGTCTGTTCATAAATTTGCCCGGGTTACTCAACACTATGCTGAGGTTGACTCAAAGTGGATTAAACACGACCTGCTCGGTCAAATGTTAGCCTCTTACGTCGTTTTGCACTTTTTTCCCCTGCTTCTGCTAACTCTTACTCAGAGCGGTCCCTCCGTGTTTATTTATTTACCCGGATTTGGTCACTTCGGCTGAGTATCTGGCACAGAGAAGCTAAACATTTAGAATGCCACACCAACATTGTAATCTGACTAACTAAGATTGTCTTGGGCGAACATTAGTTGAAACGAAGATGACCTTGAACAAACATTATCTTGAGTGAACGTAATCCAAACACACATTATCTCGAACGAAGATTATCCTAAACGAACAGTATCTTGAACGAACAGATCTTGAACGAACGGTATCTTGAATGAACAGTAATTTGAACGAAGATTATCCTAAACGGACACCCTCCTGAACGAACATTACCTTATACAGCATAATTTATTTTACTTATGCTGGAAGTTACTGTAACCAATAGCAGATTGTTAAGATTTGCCAGAATCGTTCAATCCCTCTGAAGCCGAAACAGAAGCAAAAACATTGCCTGTTTCATGTTCCTTTACAGCCATTCCCCCATTGCCGATGTCAGTCGATATCATTGAAGTTTGCCGCCCTCCCTCATCCCCTGCACTTCAGATTATCCACTTTCATTTTGGCCGCGGAAACATTCAATCTAACCTCTCAAAGTAACCCTATTCGTTTCGAAACTGCACCCAGAAGCTTACTCTTCAAAATGAAGCTTCCACAATCTCCCACTAGAGAAGAGTGCTTCAGATGCTGGGGAAGGATATCTTTCCACTTGACCAGAACATAGGTCGGCCGTGTAAGAAGGGGCTGAGTGAAGGTGGCTGGGTGTGGTGGCCCATCCGTTACTCTCGGGTGAACGCCCAAAGTGAATAGCCCGCCTCAAAGCTTAGAAAAATAAACAATAACACGGAAGAAATTGCTACTTTAATCAAAAGAACAGTTCAATATGGCTGGAAAGTGGAAAGTAGAATATTGCGGACAGAAAATGCTGGGAGCAGTTAATTAGATGTTTGGTAACCAAATTACATAAAAGAATGTGGTTATTCGACTGGTAGTTACCCTAGTCAATTAGTTTCTAGGTGAACAATTATTATCTGGCCTGACAACTTACATATTTGGTCATGCTCGATAGCATGGGGCAGTTGATGTGCAAAACTACACACAACTTCTGAATAATCCGGTTGAACGGCGTGTTCATTTCGTCGAACCTAGCACTCCACTCTCCCTGCTCTCACATGATTGCCTCTTTTGTTATCATCGACCCTGAGCCGGTTGATGTATCCTTAGTAGTAAGTTCAAATAGCCATTAAACGCTGTCAACACTTTCCCAGCTTCGCATCTCCGTACTCAACGAACCGAATTTCATCCAAAAATGTTACATAATCTTGCTCGGACAGGTGACGACACCACTGTAATCGACAAATCTCCTAATTGTTTCTAGTAACTAGACAAAATTTAGATGAACTACAGTGTTCTCACTGACTCTCATTCAGAGTTGTGCGTTTTGAGTATTCGCTGAAGGCACCGATGAGAAAGGCAGAAAAGTACCACGTTTTGTCTTTATCATTTGCCAAAGGTGAAAAAATGCACTTGTTCCGAACAAAAGCATTACAATAGTGGCCCCAGCTTTGGAAGGAGCATAAGGAAAATAGCCTGAAGACCCCATGTCGCTGAAGTATGCTCACCGAGATGCCAAAGTTTATGCGGTATCGAGTTCCTCATTTGTTAGCGATCTGTAATTTGCAAATTGTACCAGTTGGTTTTGAACATCGAATGAGTTTTTGACCATAGAACTACATGAGATGTGCACTGAGCCGACTTGGCTTGACGCCCAAAGATACTTGAGTGGAACATAGCACAATTCATCTCCAAGACTCAAACTCGATTATTCGGTAAGTATACACTCATTCGGTATCCGCACGCCAGTCGCATGGAGAGACATGTTTTACGTAACGGTTTCGTAGGTAAGCACTGGTCAGTGTCCCAAAGTCAGGTAATTTCAAGCCCCAGGAGCACCGAAAAAATTGACTCGCCCTTAGAACGATCGTTTGTGTGGGAACGAAATTGAACTCAAAGTCAGGACATTTTTTGTCTGTGTCTCGAGCATCTATGAATGAAAATTGATGGCAATTTTAACAGGACCATTGAGAGCTTTTCTTTCCTAAAGAATACTTTAATTCCGGGAAATAGCAATCAAACAGAGGGTTATAGGAAATATTGGCACGAGCCTATTTCGAGTCTCGTTTCGGGCGGAGAATCAAGAAGGGCTACTACTATTGTGCTATAGTTGTAGATTCGAAGGCCGTTCATATTGATTGGCATATCGATTCAAAACTAGAGGTACATATGCAAGAGAGATCATCCCAGCGAAACCGCAAGTTTCGCGTCATCATAACTGAATCGGTCTCAAAATAGATGGCTCCGACAATAAGAGTATGAGACAATCCAAAATCTATATAATAGTCGCGTAATATAAATATCACCAGACCGAAACAGCAAAGTCGCGAAGCCTTTGTCTGGCATCGATGGCTGCCTCCATTTCCGAGCAAGATACTACTAACGGTGAGGCCAGCCCCGGATCACCTGAACAAGCCAAATCCATTATCAACGATGTTCATATAAGTGCAGACAGATGCCTCGTAAGTATATTCAAAATCCTTTTGAATGTAGACTGATTTGTATATTAGAGCTCGGAGGTAGGCGAAGCATTTCAGGCTTGCTTGACTCCGTCAGAACCACAAACGCAAAACCTCCAATGCTCACAGCACTTCAGCCGGACCTCCTCTATGGAAATAGTAGAACTATACTCGGTGCTTTGGGATTGCTACACGACGGAGAAAGCTGAGCTTCACAGACTTCAGCAGGAGGTTAAGATCCTTCGTTCTGCCAACGCTCAGCTATGCCTTAGGTTGCAGATTGCAGAACAAGAGTCATACAACCAAAGGGCATTTTTAGCATACTTTGAGCAGCGTTTTGCAAATCTTCAGAAAAACCTCAAGAATTTCCTTCAATATAAAGAGAATGATGAATCTGAGGTCAATGCCGAAGCAATTTGCCATTGAAGTCCATGGTTGGCAGAAGCTGAGCGTGAAGACACTGCGAGCACCAACTCCCCGGTGTGATTCAGTGGCAATGAGAACGGACTGGCACCTTGGACCTTTGACTAGAATTTTTGTTCCCCCAGCGAGGCAAATGACCGTACAGTTCCTTCGAGCCCATAATTGCTTTGGCTGTGTATCCTGTCTAAAGGGCATTCGACAGTTTGCAAATGCTAGGGATTGCGTTGTTGTAATTATGTGCCATCTCAGCTCTGTCTTTAATCAATCACTGTAATTTGAGTATTCAAGTATCCTCTTGCGTTTAAAAGGCATCGTCGTGGAACAAACGAGAACTTCCGAGCACTAGCTGGGATACTGGGTTGAACTAGCTCTGAAGGGAGCTCTATAGTATCTCATCAAGAGCCACGCAGCTTGAGTAGCTTGACATGTATGGTGTCGCTTGGACGCGATGCAAGGTTTCACCGAAGAGTTCACGGTTCCCTTTGTGGTGCCTGTTTCGTAACAGCCTTTGCTACAGGAAAGTTGGGGCAGCCATCCAGAAAGTGCAAGATCCTAGTCAGAGGGGCGTCCAGGCGACAGAGATAAACTCCATTAAAGGCTGCCAATCGAGACTACACATCAGTCCCACCGTCACTCATTCATTAGCTTCAATTGGCAAGGAAATCCTCAACAACTGTCCCTGGGATTATTAACCTTGAAGGCTCGAAATGAAGGCCGTTGAATAGTATTCCCCACTACAAACGACACTGATTCTAGAATTGGAGTACACGTGATAGACCGGTATCTGACCGTAGGGTGGAAAACAACTGACTTCAGCGAAACTTGGCGGGTGTAAATGTAATCATGAGTTGGTGACCAGGCTGTGAGTGAGCTTCCAACATTTTTCATTGTGCTTCCGCCTTCACCCATGCGGCTGTAGTCGCTGCTGCTGTTTGAAACCTTATACCGCGTGGCTATGAGTGATCATGTGCTCAATGATTCTATTGGTTCCGAGGGTGTTGAAGCGAATTCCACTCCCTGCTTCAACTGCTTTACTGTGGCGATGAAAAGGGCCAACCAGATCGGGTGAGATGGCACCTGCAAAGGTGGTGGAAAACACGGATCCATGAGCTGAGCAACACACAAAGAAAGATGCTCAGAAATCACAAGCTCCAGAAGATCCTCATACTAGGTATATCTGCCTCGTAGCTACGGCTAAGCGTGTACATACAGCACATTCCTACTAAGGTTTTATTAGTACTTCTTAGGCGTCTTCAATATTACTCATCTGCGATGCAGGCTGTCACCCATTCAATATCCTATCCCTTTGCGCTTTCGAAGATAGCGTACTCACCGTCTGTTGAATTACGCCGATATTTGTAAGGTAGTTGGCAGATTCGGAAAGTAACGCACTGCGTCTCAATGATATAGACTCTTCAACAAAGCTAATAAACTTTCCAATCACCTCATCCTATCGGGCATCTACGGTACGAGCCATCAAATATACATCGGGTATCATACACGCCTACATGCCCTCAAGAATCCAATGCAATCAACAATTCAATGGTTTCTCAGGGATAATCCTCCGGGTAAAGACGAACCGTGCGCCAAAAAAAAAGAAAAGGACCAGTCATCTCCCTTCGATAGATCTAACTTTCGATAGATCTAACGCTCTTCCCCAACTTGATGTCTCTCAGGTGGCTGAGGGAACTTCGCCAGACACATAGGCTCCAGTACAGCCCCAGCCTAAGACCATAGGATTAAACCTGTTAGGGTACTTCGCAAGCATAGCAGAGTACAAATCAGTTACAGTTTGAGGCTTCTCTTCCAACAGACCGATGAAGTCTCGAATGTATTTCTTTGTTGCCTCCAGATGCCATATGCCATCCATTTCATCCGCGTTTCGATGACCAGGCACCACGTAAATTGGATTAAGCGCCTCAACTTTCTCAACTGCTCTGATCCATTCTTCTCGCTTCTCTGGAGTGTTCGCTTCGAAAAGCATCTGGTGGACATCGCCATATACAACGTCTCCACAGACAGCCAGTCTCAGGTCTGGAACCCACAGGATTGTTGAGTCAAATGTGTCGGAATGCCCACACTCAATTGCCTCGAAAGTCCATCGGTTTTCCAGCAAGAATTTATTGTCTTTTGGGAGCGCTTCCGGTAGCTGGTGTTGAGTATAAAGTTGATCTCCCGGGAAAAACGCAAGCCATGTCAAGGAGAATACCGGTTCGGAGATCTGCTGCTCGATGTGACGGACAGTTGCTTCAGTTGCCACTGCCTTAGCCTCTGGAAAGTGCTGCAGCAACAAAGGGAGGCCTAGGAAGTGGTCCGCATGGCCGTGCGTGATATAGATATAAGAGAGCCTTCGTCCCGGTGCAGTCTTCTCGACCCACTTGATCAATTCTTTGTTCTGATTGATTGTGATCCCAGTATCAACAAGAACAGCTTCATTCTCCGAGTAAATCAAAGTGCAGGTTTCGGGAGACCATGTGGTATTCTGCCGATGTGACACATGGTCAACACAAGGGACTGGCGGCACGGTATGAACAGACACTCTTAAACCAGACATGTTCATGGAAGTAGTCAATTTGAGGAGCAAAATATAGAAACAAAAAGAATAAACTTGATGAGCCTTGCCATGCGACAAGAGGAAGCAGCAGTTGCATTTTATGTTATAGCTCTTTTTGTGTTAGACCTTCACTCCCCGATCCAACCTCGGCCTCGGACTTGATCACTCATCAAGAGAAATATGTGCCTGCATAGGCAAGTTGAGGTGGCGTAATTCCCCGCCGAGTCGTTCCCCGACCGAACCGGACACCCCTCATTTTTGATTATCTCAACAACCCGCAGGATCCACCACACATGGCGGAAGTTTCGGAACCGTGAGTCGATCACTCTTATAGCATGTGTATGGTAGTTGTATTATTGGTAGAGTTATGCGGGTCACGACCCAGTAACGTAGATACAGGTCTGACCCTAATGCATGAGTAGTGCATATCAAGGTTACGGGACAATACCATCACTACACGGGATTCAGCAATCACTAATCTCTCCGTCACGCTAGTCAAAAGCAAAGAATAGTCCGAAATGAGGATCTCGATACTATATGTACGGGTTCCTTGACAGTCTTTCTTGTTGATTGAATGAGGTCAAGTCATATATTGTTCCGCATGAAATTCAATGAGCTTCCCAAGTATTTTAGTGACTGGAGCTGATATAGTAAATCTGTAATCGTTTTGGCTCCTCATGTTATTAGTTGTTGTTGACGTGGCAATATCACGGGATGTAATTACCGAAATCAAAGGTGCTCCTTAACGTTACAGCATACCTAAATATAATATTTACGCTGAGGACCTTTCAATTATACCTATCTGAGCAATAGCTTTGGAGTACAACTTAGTGTGCCTTGATTAAGAACAGGTTAAAAGGGAGTACACTGAAGAGAAATGGTAGGAGGGGCCACGAGAATCCCATGGAACATTGCGTAGCAAACTACAACACTAGCCAGATTCCCTGCATTACTGTAGAAATAAAAAGTCCGTGTTTCCACTTGATTTATTTCATGGGTGTTTATTATGCTGCGGCGAAGGACCTACAATCGTGACGAAATCAAAACGGGTATCAGAGGAATGCTGAACGCCTAGAACAACATATCGGAGTTTCTACACAATCAGGCTACAAATCTTATGGGACTGGGCCGTTCAGCGAGTAGCTATACGACATATATTGAGTTCAAAATTGTAATTGAGGTTGGTTCTGGGAATTGTCCATGGAATTTATCAACCACTGTGACTTGTACTGCTCAACAGCAGCTTGCGTCACAACAAACAGTGGAATATTCAACAACCGAAAGTAAAGAGTGTAATGGGCAACATATCAGACCGCCATTATGAAAGAGCTTGACAAGTGATCCATCGCGGGCAATTTCTCTTCCACATGTCGAAACTCACGTCCTAGGCTGACCCGAGCACTAAGCGCCTTCCCAAACGACCGGCTTGTTTTCCTTCGCCCAAATCCTCTCCGCATCACTTCCAAACGGAGGAGGAACTATTCCATTGACGCGCCATAGCCTTCTTTCAGTCTCATCGACGTGAAATTCCCAGTCATAACCTCTATCGGCAATATGAGGCTTCAAGGCGTTTTCAATCGCGTCACATGTATACTTGTAAACATGGTCCTCATTGTCGAGCCGAACAGCAATGTGTTCGGCAATAATTCGAATAAACGGGATGTCCATTTTCCTTTCAGCGCCAACCCAGATATCTCCAGGTGAGAGCTTAATAAAGTTGATGACCACGTAGAATGCAGGAAGACCGATTCCGGTGTATATTTTTGTGATGTCTTCGGTCAAAGCTTTCTTAGAACCGGTGTCCTCGAAAGTGCCGGTGGGGTGAAAAACGAGCCAAAAGGGCATGTTAAGTATTTGGTTATAAGCCAGAAGGAATGATAGTACCTTCCAGGTAGAGAATGAAGCAGAATAAGAATAGGATGTCAAACGCTGAACAAATATCTAAAACTATTACTACGCCCTTAAGTATCATAAATGTAGCCGAGTTCATCCCAACAAAAAGTTTATTACCGCGCCTTACCTAAAGAGGTCTGTTAATCGACTCTTCTCCGTAAGCCCGAAGGCATGCCCTCACACATGGCTAATCTTCTCGGCTTTCCATCATAAAAAGAATTTCGATCATGTTAGTCACTGACTTCCCGGATACCAATAGATACCGCTCCGGTAAGGTGTCGTCACAATTCAGTTTATAGAGAGGTATTATTAACTGCGGTAAACTGACAGCTGACTATTACTAAATCTTCACTAGTTCGTCAGTGAAGCTGTTTAGGATGTGGGCCCGACTGTCTCATATAGCAATTTTGACAAAAGCAGACTGGAAAAGTATGCTTGCGTGCATCCAACTGTAGTTGAAGATTTTCGCGTCCATTGACTTACTTGCTGCTTACGATACATAGTTGAGTATTACAATACCTAGAGAAATAGTTGATTGGAGGTGGAGTTGTCGGTAGGATCAGTAATCAGATTAATGTCCCAGTTAGGTAGATACCCGAGGCACAGATACATTCGCCAGGATTTCTAATCACCTTTTGATATGACGTAGAAGCAGCGCTAGAGTACTATTCCTTGTTCCGTTCTTCGACGTCCACCCTTCCGAGATCCACCAAACCTATAAAGCGATATTTCCACCTTCTTACGTACCTGTATGCGGACAGGTACAAAGAAAAAGTGACAAAAAAAAAGTATCTTCATAATGCCTTGTCGAGATGTTGAATTCAAAACCTCTGACCAGCTTACTCTTCGAGGTTGGTTTTTCACTCCCAGCTCCTTCAGTGGAAAGCTACCTTGTCTGGTCATGGCGCACGGATTTGCAGCCCATAAAGAATACAGTCTAGCTAATTTTGCGGAATATTTTACATCGAACTTGCCTGTCGCTGTACTTGTTTACGATCATCGTTGCCTCGGCGCTAGTGATGGCGAACCAAGGCGGGAAATCATCCCATTTTTACAAATAAGCGATTATTCTGAGGCTATTACGTTTGCACAACTCCAGCCAGAGATTGACGCCGGGAATATTGCTATCTGGGGCAGTTCATACAGTGGAGGTCACGTTCTCACTGTTGGCGCTGTCGATCGTCGAGTTAAAGCTGTTATTAGTCAGGTGTAAGTCTTTCTGCTCTTATATATATTGGCCTAATAGGGTCTGGTTCTGTCTAACTTCCGCTCATACACAAGTAGACCATTGACCAGTGGATGGGACACCTTCCATCGCATACACAGGGCAGACCTGATTCCAAGACTGAACACTTTATTTGAAGATGGTCAGTTTCCAATTTTTTTGAAAGTATGAAATGTGAATGGGAAAGATTTAATCCTGCTAACGAGCTCAAAATCTGGAATATAGATCGCCTTGCTCGTGCCAGAGGGGAAGAGCCGTCACGGGTGCCTGTCGTAGATAAGGATCCTCAAGCATTTTCTGTCCTTCCTTCAGAAGACAGCTATACCAGCTACAGCTCAGCAATACCATTCGGATGGAAGAACGACGTGACACTAAAGAGGTATCCGTTCCTATCGTTTACTAAATGACTTGTGCGATACTTGGTCTGACAACATACAGCCTCGAGGCCTTCCGAGCATATGAACCTTCGGCCTTTGTTGAGCGTATCTGTCCTACTCCGCTGTTAATGGTGGTGATGGACAATGATGTTGTCACGCCTACCGACCTTGCACTTGGTGCCTTCGCACGAGCAAAAGAGCCAAAGCAATTACACATGCTCCCAGGTGGACATTTTGACCCATATGACGGGCACCTCTTCGATGAAAATGCTCCGGTACAGGTCAAGTTTCTGAAAGATCATCTTCTGAAGTAGGAGGTGGGTAAAATACGTTGATTCATTCCTCGCTTTCCGTCGTCAGTCTGGTTATTCGATGAAGTTGTAGCAATATTCACTCCTACATTTTAAAATCTGGCAGAATTGATTCTATTTAAAACCAGTTTTCAGTATTTGGCATATCGCGGGTCCTCAACTCCGCTGTTTACTGGCACACATCATAGTGCTTGATCACTTGACGAACAGAGCCGAGGGGTCGATATTGCGAAATTTTGTGTATGTCGCACGTAAGCCGTGGTCTCGCTTTCTCCATAATAACTTGGAAGTTTGCGAGATGCAACGCGTGGAGCTTCCAACGCCTGCGCAAATGTGTAACATCGGTCTTGCCTACCGCTCCGCACGAATTTTCGGACTGTTCGAAGTTCGCGAATTTCGGCGAATCGAATCGAATTCAAACTGTTTAGTATCACGGTGGCTGAACCTTATGGCAAGATTAGGAATAGAGATATATATGAGGCATCCCGCCCCTGTAAAGGATAACTCCTTAAGTCAATGAGAATCAATCAGACAATCACATACTTCAACACCAAGTATAGTAGCCACATCTTTCCACAATGAACGTAAGCATGGGGCTGGAGTGAGCCTCAAGAACCTGGCAGGTCACTTTCCTGCGTTCAAATATATTACATAAGTGACGAGGGTTTAGTTAACGTTATTTAGCTATAGCTCTGAGTACCTCTGCCTACGAGTATTTAACCACTGAGTTGTCCTGCTTGTCGAATTTCTTTCTTCACTTCCACACCCGAAACACGCCACTGCTTGTTCTGCTATGTTATAATTCCTGCTAATTTTTCGAATATCCGTTGCGTGATTTATGGATCGATACGCTCTTACTCTCTATGCTATGACCGTCGAGTCACCTTTCCCGCCCGACCTGGCTTTATACGCTATTTCGAATATAAGTTAACTTCTCGAGAATCGAGTACATACGACCACAGGGTGTGGAGAACAGGGCTTCCCGTCCGCTCAGCCGTACTTAAGCCACACGCCGGCAGGTTAGTAGTATGGTGGGTGATCACATGCGAATCTCTGCTGTTGTATGTGTCCGCATTCACCAAATTTCTTTTTTTTTTTTTTTTGATTCGTTAGGAAAGTCCCTCTTGCCGCCCTACTCTTCAGCCCCTTCAGCCCATGAATGCCCTGAACACCACTATTCTACACCTGAATATCCTGCATGCCCCTAAACCGCTGACGTGTCCTTCCCCTCCCATGCTAACTTTTTCTCAGGCGTGTTATTTTGATCATAATTCTCTGGTACTAGTTTCTACTGGTTGGTATATGTCCTCCTTGGATTCAAATGACAATAGGAAAGAAAAAGAAGAAGGGCCGCCTAGGAGAATCAAACTAGTTATTGAATATAATCTCGCTAGAGGTCACCCACCCTAGCACTAACTCACCGGCGAGTGGGTTAGTAGTTCGGTGGGTGTCGCACGGCTTTGAAACATTGAATTCTTGCCATTTACTCCTAGTCACGCCTAAGCTTTGTTGATTGGTGACTTTATTAGGCAACGGTGAATACCTCCATCACCCACTGGAAAAACGGCTAATAGTTGGAGCACTCAAAGCACCTAAGCTTCTTCCCGAGGTAACGACTATTGCTTAAACTACTGTACTTTTTTTCTATATAGGAAAGATCGAAATCTAGTTTCGCCTAACGATACTTCGATTGTCCGTCTCGCCTCTATATCCCTCTATATCCCTCTCTTCACCTCTCTCAGCCCCCGATTTACGGCCTGCCTATTCTTAAACACTGAATCACCTAGAGCTTAGCATTTTGAAAAACTAGCAAGATGGCAGAGAAATTGGACTGGTATAAACTTGTGGTGCTCGGAGATGGGGTTAGCGATAAAGCCGCATTGACGCGTCGAGTGAGTCCCGGCTGGGCAGAATCGTAGTGTCTAACACCATCTGTAGTTTGCTGAACACAATTTCGTTGAGACCTACCTATCTGACTATGGAAGATTCATTCCGTAAGCAAGTCAAAATCTATGGACAGTCGCGTATACTCGAGGTACTTAATCTTGCGGGCCTGGAAGAATACACAGCACTGATAGATCGATGGATAAAGGTTAGGGATGGCTTCGTTTTGGTATATAGCGTTAAGTTGCGCTCGCCATTCGCCTATATACTAAAACTTCCACCGGCACATCCGGTGGCTCAAGGAGACTATATCATCGGGGTCGCCAAATCACCAAGGATTATCATATAGCACGATATCGAACGATTTGTGGTCTTTCGGACCATCTCCGGTAACTCTTATCGCTAATATGTGTGATCGAGTCACTAAGCGGAAGGTTGCCTCGTAAGAAGGTCTTGCCCTTACTAAGGAGCTTAGCTACGGCTTTATGGAATTCTCTATTAACATAATATCGAGGAGGGTGTTCTACGACGTGGTGCGGCAGCTGAGGCGACAGCACGGAAATGAGTTGTAAGATACTCATTAGATGTACTATAATAATTCACGGGTTTTTCTAGTGCTGAATATATTAAATGCAACCTGTGGACTCCCGTCTGTGATTGTACTCAATACACACGTTCATACAATAGAGCTGAGGGAAAGTTGCAGACCATGGATGGGGTCTATATCAACCACCGACCGGCTTCCCCGACAAGCCAACTGTTATCTTACAAGTGGCATATTCAGAACCAGCGAAGAAGCTGGAATCTGACGTGAAGTCTTGGCTAAATCCCGGGGAAGGGGGCGCCAATGTGACACTGACGCTTCAGATAGACCCAACAAAGCCTGTAACTATCCTAAACCACTGGCAAAGACCTGAGAGCGCGTCACAAGACATTCTATGCAATCGAGAGGGATTGAGAACATACAGATAATTATCCTGAAAAGTGATGACGAACATGTCAAAGTCAGCTGTGATCCTCTGGTGATCCCATTCGACTTGAATTTTCGACGGAAACCAATTGGTGGATAGGAGAGGGATCTTGAAACACGTTATAACGATAGCGGTCAATATATGGAGGCCTCAAGGCTTTTTAAATTGAACTATGTATCTTCTATGCTTTGGGATTTGTCAATTCAATCAGTCTAAAAAGTGTGGCAGTGCTCTTAATAAGATAGGGTTCTCCAAACAATGTTGTGCGGCAACTTTCTCCGCCATGTTGGGCGTCCTATATTAAGATTTGGTTGGCTGTTGGCTTGCCTCCTTTGTCGATCACCTCGACGATCGTGGCTGTATTTGGCTTTAGCACATAGCCCCCTCTCAGTTCCACTTTACCTTGGCCATGCTCGTTTATAAATCACTCGCCTCGTATTGTCGGACGATCTTAGCGCCTATGCTAAGCCACATGGCGACATGACAGACACGTTATTCATATAAAAAGTGGTCAAGGCCCTCTATCGTTTTTGCAGGATCTATTACGTTGACCTCACGCCTCCAACTTGGTTCCAGTATGCCCACCGCTGCGAATTCTCAGGATCCGGTCAAGCAAGGATCCTGCTGGAATTGGTATATTTCCGCTGTCTGGCACTTTGAATATGCTTTCTTTCCAATTGTAGCTTTCGCATTGTTTTTCACATTGCTCTATTACTCGGGGTGCTTTTTGGCGGACGTGGAAAACACCCCGAAGATTCTCAACCCTCCATACAGCCCCTATATCTGGTCTGGAAGCTTTCTGCCAGTTTTAGCGGTACGCCTTTTTCATTCCATCTGATCTAAATTAGATATATTGAGGGCGTACTAGTTGCTGATATACATTGTTCTAGGGATCCCTTTTCTTGTTTTGGACCGTGGCCTCTTTTATTCCACAATGGATTGTGGGATACAAAAAGACCTGGTGGCTTGTTGTTTTCATCGTGCGCCTGATCGATCTTATCCCGCTCGTCTTGTCTATCGTCTTAAAATCTCGATATCTACCCCGGCCTCTAACATCATGCAAAAATGAATATGAGTGGGCAGACTCTAATGATGTTCCCGCCGGCACACCGACCATGTATGAATTACTGCCTGACCCCAGGAAGAGGTGGACGGTATGTGAAGTTGTTTCGTTTCTCTGGTTTTATGAGATGGTACTGGTGTGAGTCCTTCACCCTGACCCTTCCCTTCTTAACTAGCAGGCATATGATTGCTGACTTGTTTCTCGTCAATTGTAAAGTGGACTATTGGTGCTGGGGTTGATTTCTGCAGCTTACCAGCTTATTTCGTATAGGCCAGTTCATCTAAGCTGGACAGAAGCCCGCCGCCAAAGGAAAATAGTTCTTATCAATACTCCTTATTCGCCGATCTACAGATCCCGTCTTTAAGGGGGTGAGAATTCGCAGATACGACAACACGGGTTGTTGCAGATAAGGCACCAATCCCTCAACGAATAGAACGGGTTGGAAGGACCGTACATAAATTTATCTCGTTTTTCTCTTCAAGAATCAGTTTATGTATTGATCTGATCTACTGATGCACTAAATGATACGAATAGAATTCGGACAGGGTTTATAGGATAATCTCGAGGATCGGTGATTATTCCCTCGATTTCCATTGAGCAGTCTTCTTTGGGTATTTCTTAGAGATCAGCGCTCCACTGACACTGGAGATTGTTGCATGTGTGCCAAATGTCCAACGGTAACACCGCAATCTTACCGAGGTGACCACGACCTCAGACGTGCTGTTGTATGTATTTGATTTTGTTTTTGGCCCTTTCTTTCGTTTGATAATTGATTATAGAATTTTATTTTATATATGTTGGCGACTATTTACTTTCACCTTCTGTGTTCTCCAAAACCCGATTATTCACGTCTCTATTTCTATTTCTCGGTGCTTCGTTTCAGGGTCGATGCGCGCAACGCGCGCGTCTTCCAGTTATTTACGCCTGTACTGGAATACTGCCAAGAAAGGGGTTCAGGGGTAGTGCAACCGTAACGGGTATAGCGTGTTTCGGGACAGGGTTCGAGAAAGAATCTCTGTGTGCAAGTGGTGAAAGTAATTTCGATCCATACTGTATAGATTGGAATACGGTAGGCCTTCGAGACGAGAGACGGAAGACGGAGAGACAAGAGAGATCGGCCCCCTGCCCAGACGTTGCGGTTGATATTATCTTCGATATAAAACTGTTGCGGTTGTGTACCGAGCGGGAGCTAACCCCGGACCGATGGCGGACCCACCCGCGGGAGGGCCCGAACCCCCTCCCACAAACACCCAAGAAACTCACGCCAGCTTCTCAGTTGAGGACTTCCAGCCTCGAGTATCGATCGACGCAGGCCAAACCATAGGGAAAAGAACGAGAAATGGCGAAGCTTATACACCTACCGAGGGCACAGGCCGGATTACCACCAGAGAGGTGTGGAAGCTCATCGACAACCTCAAGGATATCATCCATCGCCAAACCACGCTCATCGAATCCACCAAAGCCGACCTAGAGGAGGTCAAACACGACCAGAACGTCCTTCGAGAACAGAATGACAGGCTTCATGAAGAAGTCAGGGCCCTAAGAGCACAAATCGAAGCCAGCCCACAACCAAACCCTCCTAGAACATGGGCACACAGAGATCATTGGTGGACCCGAGAGACAATGGGAATAGCGAAGGGAACGCTTTCGGGCGATACCTCTCCACCGAGTCTGCTAACACCTATATCCGTTCAGCGCTGTTAAGCGCACCTTCGACTCAAGATGCCGAAGTGGCCGGCATTGGTACCACTAAAACGGGATACTTAATTCGCTTCAAAGACTCAGGGTCGGCCGAAGCAGCCCGCAACAACACTGAATGGTTGAATGAGCTAGGAAACAACACAAAGCTGGTCAAGCCGCGGTTCGGCATCGTCGTACACCGCACCCCGACAGAGAACTTCGACCTAGAGAATGCGAACTCTCAAGCCATTCAAAGAATTATGGAAGAAAACGACCTAGCCGACAAAGGCTTCCAAATCGAAGAGTTGGCATGGCTTAAGCGGAAAGATAAAGTTCTGGGGAAGTTTGCGTCGCTTGGTATCTGGTTTGACTCTGCAGAAGGAGCCGAATACATCCTCAACAATGGTCTTCTTGTTGGACAAAGATATATCGGTAGCGTGGAACGCCGCGAAATCAAGAAAAAGAGGTGCTTCCGATGCCAACGTTTCGGTCACTTAGCATGGTCGTGCAAGGAAACACCACGCTGTGGACATTGTGCAGGTCAACACGAGCGGCAACGATGCCCCCCAGGGATCAGGGCTAGATGCCTGGATTGTAGCGGCGAACACCCAACTGGTGACCGACAGTGTGCTACACCCGCAACTTCCAACCCCCATCAATGTTAGAAACGAACCTGCGCATACTACAGTTGAACATCATGAAGTCGGGACCTAGGATGGAAGCACTCATCAACGACCACCAAACCCAAAACTTGGATGTACTTCTGATCCAAGAACCCTCGATCACCACCTACCAAACACATGTCAACCACAGCGCCTGGCGGCTATACCGACCAAC